TACAACTCTCACACTGAAGATCTTTTACAAATGAACATCTACCTAAAAAAAGACAGGAGTAATATTGCAGAGCAGGTATTATATGTTGTTATAGGCATTCACCTCACCTCATCATATTAATCGTGTGGATTAATTATTCAGGTCACATTTGTACCTCAGGGAAATTACAAGTGATTACATGTTGGGGAACTTTCCTCCTTCCTTCCGCCTTCACTTTCTTCCAAAAGATATTTATTAAGTGTCTATCACCCATTAGGCAGTGAGGATATTAAAAAGCAAACACACCATTCCTGCCCTCATGAAGTTTACAAGTGGACAATTATCGATAAAATAATTCCACAGATAAATGAAAAACTAGTACTCTGGGGCGTGCTGGGGAAAAACTTTTTAATAGGAGGATTTGGTGTCATCAACGAGAGGGAAGGTTCCTTAAAAAAGTGAAATTGACTCTGAAAGAGTCAGCAGTTACCTCAACAAGAGGGCAGACCAGATTCCAGGGATAGAGAAAGCCATGCGCAGAGGTGCCTCGCAGCGGGAACATGTGCGGATGAGGGAAGGGGCAGGATATGGAAAGGTGCCAGATCAAACAGCTCTTGGAGGCCTAGTTTAAGGAGCTCCTTTTCCTGTTTCCCAAGAGCAATTCAGAGCCATTCAAAGTACATGGAGGAGGAGTTAAACGATCACTTGAAATCTTTCTTTTTTAATCAGCATCGACTAAAAAAATTGAAATGTTCAGTGATGAGTTCTGAAATGGCCAGGGAGATTGGAGGAGCCCAGAAGCAGCAGCAGAAGAGGAGACTAGCCCAGAAGTGAAATCATGCATACCTGAGGAAGGGTGTTGCAGAGGGAAGATGGCTGGGAGGCATATGGTTAGAGGAACGTTACATATTGCCAATAACTTGTTCAACCCTGCTTAATTTAACTTAATTAAAAATTGACATGATAGTAAAGACTGGTTCAGGTAAGAATCATCAATAGCTGCTAAACCTATAGGAGGAACTTTGATGAGGAATTGAACATCATCTGAAAGTGTCTCTCCAAAGATTGCTTATCAGTCGCCAAAGAGTCAATACACAGGAACAGTGGAACACCTGCACCAGGTGATCACACAAAGGAGCACCTGGAAGGGGAGATGGACAACACATGCCTCCAGAGATGATAACCCGAGCATCATCACTTACGTCACATAGAGGCTGGCCATGCCTAATCTGAATATAGCCATTCAGAAACTGTACTACTGGGGAGGGCTGTATTACTGAAGACTTTCACTCTCATAAATACAAAGCAAGGCTAGGAGCTCTTAAAGGAGACTATTGAGACATGACGTATTCATTTCCATAAACTTAGTGCACTTGAAAAATTTTATTAGTTGATAGTCCTTGAGGTCAGCAGTCCTAATAGGTATTAGTAGGTGCAAATCAAGGTGTTCAATGGGGCTGTTCTTTTAAAGGCTCTACAGGATAACCCCTTTTCTTGCCCTTTCCAGCTTTAGAGGATGTCTGCCTTCCTTGGCTTGTGGCCTCTTCCTCCATCTTCAAAGCTAGCAATGTCATATCTTCAAATCACTCTCTCTGGCTTTGACACTCCTGCCTCCCTCTTATAATGATGCAAGTCATTAGATCCGGCCCACCTTGGTAATCTAGAATACTCTCCCCATCTCAAAATCCCTAACTTAGTTATATCCGCAAAGTCCTTTTTGCCTTGTCAGGCAATACTAGATTCGCAGCAGAAGACATGCATAGGGAGCCATTATTCTGCCTATCACACTTGATATAAAAATATAAATTATACTCCTAGATCGCTTCTTGTATTGGAGAAAAAGAAATGCTTCCCCCCCCCCCAAAAAAAAAAAAGTTGTTAAAATTGAAATACAGCCAGTGGATTGAAATATTTACTTATTCCTAAATGTATTGAAGTTGACAGCTTACAATGTTGTTATGTAAGAGAAAATAATTTACTTTAGGAAATATACATCGAAGTGTGTAGGGGTAAACAGACATTATGTATACAACTTACTTGGCAGATTTGGAAAAATAATAAAACACATATGTGTGCAAAGAAAACAAGCATTTAGAAAATCAGCTAAGGCAAAATATTAAAAGCAGATGAATCTGGATTAAAGAGTATATCGGTGTTCTTTGAGTAATAGTCTTGCAAACTTTTCTGTAAATTTGAAGTTATCCCCAAATAAAAAGTTAAAAGAAAACTGATGAATACATAATTTACTTTTATTAAAAACAAATAAAGAGTTTTTTACTTAAATACCACAAGCAACTCACACTCTATTTATTTTATAAATGTGAAAATGACCGAAGATGTGTGGCACAGGTTCAGTGACTTAATATTTGTTCTTTCTATAGTAACATTACGAGTAAATGGAAAGGCTGGGAAATGTTTGAGACTTTTAAGGTTAGGAACTTTAAGGAAATCTTAAACCTGGCAGTATTACAGCTTCAGGTAGCTTAAAATAGAATAGATAACTATCCTCAGATTTAAGTATCAACCTGTTGATCACACCTTGCTATTTGTGAAAAAGAACTTACTAGGTAATTTTCTAGGAAGGCCCTTAGAAAAGCAAGCTCTCCTTTTCAGGTGTATTCATTTGATTTTTAAAACAAAAGCAGGCAATAATAATAATGTGTATTCTATTCTAGAGCTTTCTTCTGCCCAGTGCCGCAGTCGGAATTTTATTGCCTTGGCCCCAGAGAAGTTTTTGGTGCCCATTTTGATTCCCACTCCACCCTTTATTGTTTAAACACAAAAGATAAGGCAGCTGGGACTCTGACCACTGACAAATAATCAGGGGCCTGTCCACTGGGAAACTCCTCTGATCTTGGCAGCAACTACGGTTTTAAAAGGAAGGTAAAAAAAAACAAAAAAAAAAAAACGCTTAAGACCGGTTTCTGCGCACAGCCCTATGTGTGGGCTTGTTTTCCTTGCCAACTGTTGTAGCCAAAAACAGAGCTACTCCCCAGCTATGCCAGGACGGAGTGCAAAATCAAATAATAGTGAACTTTTCTCAATTACAGAAACAGAAAGAAAACATGTGGCGAAGAGCTGGCTTTTTTTCTACAAGTTTGGCTCTTGCTCTCACCAGCCAGTACCAAAATGTGTGATGTAGTGTAATCTATGATCATACCGTACACAATCATCTATTACGTTATTTTCAGTGTAACCTTGTTTTTCAAAGAGCCGCCTGATGTCTTTGAGTGAGTTCGGCAATCAGAAGCCCAAAGTTCAGCAATCTCTAGCCCAGAACGGGGTGTGTCTTTACCACGTAGATGCTTCACTTAGAGCACTTTCCCTCACCAGTGTAATTATTTAGATAACCACATTCTGTAACCCAGGGGTAAGTCATGAGACCCCAGGTTTCTTTTTAAGATGGGTCACTCTCTAGGTGTGCAACCCTGGACAAAATACTTCTGGGTTGCAAACCACAGTGTGTCATTTGTAAAAGAGGAGTCACCTTAGTTATCCTGCTGTCCTCACAGGTTTTTCTGTAACCATCCAAGGAGACAAATATGTGAATTCATTTTGAAAAGGGCCAGGTAATTTCTCCCCAGTTTTTGAACATAAGACTAAATCGACATGTATTTGTTTCATAAAGTGTCTGGCAAAGTGTCGTTTCCATAGTTTTTCCTAAACAAATACTTGCTGCCTGAGTGACTGAGTGATGACATTAATTAACTTTTGGGATGCTGTGGTTTTACATTCCTATCTCTAGAGAATTCCCCCTAAACCGATAGGCCAGACTTTGACCTAGACTCAAGGATAACTGGTTCCACATGAAGGTACATGTTCAAAGGTATTCTAAGGAACATTAGTCTGTTCATGCTAAAAAGTTTACTAAGGAAAATAAATGTGCCTTTAGACCTTCTCTTGTAATGACAACCTTATAGTCTTTGAAACATGTTTTTAAGTACAAGCACTTAGTGATGTACTTAACACACTTAACCTGGTAATGATTTTGATTGACTCAAAGCCTCAGACAATTTGCACGAGGTGGGTGTGTAGCATTTGGTAATTTAAGAAAAGATGTCTACTTGAAGAGTAGAGTATCCCAAATGGTTTCAAATTAACGCAACACAATATGTTAGTTAGAATGAATCAATATGGAGCAACACGTTATATCTCAAAGGCATGTTTCAATCGTAAGCAACCCGCAAAGTGGTACATGCAGTGTAATGGCACTAACATAAATATGAAAAAATGCAAAAAAAAACCAAACCCCACACAATATATTATATATGGATGCAGAGTCTGCAGTAGTAAAACTATAAGAGCACAAGGACTACTGTGTGCTATTGTGCTCCACAAAACTCCACACCAAGTCCTAAAAACATGCCTTAGAATAAAATAGTCAGTTCAGAATACTTGTTCATAAGAGAGAATTGTCCCTAAGAGGCAAAGTGGAAACTAATGGAGATAGGAAAAGGGAATACAGGGGACTTAGTGTATGTATAACGCTTCATTATTTAAAAAACACACACATATTTGAAGCAAATATAGCACAGTGCAAGGCTTGACAAGCTATGTGATGGATACATGGGCATTACATTTTCTATGCTTGAAATATTTCTTCATATATGAATTCTTCAAATATTTCTTCCTAATAAAAAATCATTAAAATTTCTTGGTTGCAGTAACAAAGGAGTATTTATAATCATAACCTCATATTTTTAATATAAGGTTCTGAGAATCTATTGTAAGGTTCTCATAAATTCTGAGATAAAATATTTTGTGTTCTCAAATTAAATAGAAAAGAGACTTATATAGGACCTATTTAAGTATAGAAAAAACTTCCTCAATTTTACACTGAAGCCTTTTGGAGGAGAGACTAAGGGAAAAGAGAAATTTGTGGTTAGTTCCAAATTTGGGAGAAGAGGTTTAGGAAACAACTTGCAAACTTCTAAATGTCAGATAACTTTTATCTTAATAAAGTGACACCATCTCATTTTCCAGCTACCAAAATGAAACTCTGAAAAGTACAGTTTACATACCAAAACGTCCATTCCGGGGACATACTTGAGGCCTATCTTATAGTCTTTTGGAAGATTTGCCACCTATAGAGACAAAAAAAAAAAAAAAAAAAAAAAAAGAAAAAAAAAACACTGTAAGAAATTCCACACATAGCAATTAATATGCTATTTTTAATAGTTTGGAGAAACACACATACAAACCTACTATGTTTTTAAGTTACACAGAATTTTAATATTTACACATAAAATGACTTTCATTCTTGATTTCCCTTTGTAATGAAAGGCAATCTCCAAAAAAATAAAGTCATAATACAAATCCTTTGGACTACAAATTCACTTATGGACACATGATCTGAACTACAATTTCCATCTGTGGTCTTGGAAATTCCCTTCTGGGATTTTTTTCCTACGGTTCCTCCCTATAATCAGGAATACAACATGTTTCCTTATCAGTCATTCACAAAGTACTATGTCAACATCACTAGAGCACCTGTTAGAAATGCAAGTTCCTAGTCACACCAGACCTGCAGACTCTCACTCCACAGTCCCCAGGCTATTCTGATGAGTGTTCAAGTCTGAGAACTACTGTTCTATGTTGTTAGGAAAAACGTCAGCAAAACTTCAAAAGGATGCTAATTATGAGATGGAGATGCTTTATAATTTGAATAAGTTATAAAAGTCCAATTCATCCACTTTCCTAGGGCTGACCATTTGAGGTGCCTCAAATATTTCCTTAATTTCTTTTAAAGGCTTTAAAAATAGATCTAACACATTGCCATCCGTTATTGTGGCATAAATTGAACAAGCACCTAGTTTGGAACCAGGGAATTTGAAACAAATCTAAATCCTGTACTTTGATGTCTCTCACATACAAAATGGAGATAAAGATACTCAGGCAAGTAGTCATGAACTGAGGTAAGGGACGGTGTCAAACACATTATAAGCATTCCATCTATATATATATATATATATATTTTCATTCCATCTATATTGAAAGCTATACTGACAGCTGACTTCCAAGCACACAGAGGTCTGGGTTCTCTCATATCCTTTCTTACACCTAGCACCAGCTCTGCCTTCTCACCCTTCTAGCTTTGTTAAAATTTCCATCTGAATAATACAGCCAGCAATTGTTTTAGCCCACTGGTTCTTAAAACAATATATAATGTGAAAATGTGGTTTTGCACTGTTAAATCTTCAATGGATCTGCCCTGCTTTTGCAGACTTATCTTCCTCTCACCCTCTCTCTAAAATCTTTACTGTTCCCCAAAGTAAGCTAGGACCTTTTGCTGGACTATGTCATCTCTGACAGGTGATGACCTAGTCAGCGTGTCCTATAACACAACCCATGCTTCTTCTTGGCCTTGCCAATAGCTTCTAGAATCTGAGAATAATTTGGTGAGAAAGTAACCCAGGCAAAGGCATACTAGTAAGTACAGATGACCCTGAAACAATGCAAGGGTTAGGGGCATCGACCCCCATGAAGCTGAAGATCCATGTTTAACTGCTGGTCAGCCTTCCAAATACAGATTCCCAACTGCTGAGAGAAAATGCGTAGTCGAGAGAAAAAACTGCGCTCACTACAATTCTACCTCCAGTGGTACCTCCTCACACTCTCATCTCAGCCTCCAGCCTAACATTTAACACGCATTTACTGGGTGTCAGGCACTGGGCTCGTTAAGGACTTACACTGCATGATTGTATCCAATCCCCAGATCTCGTGACATATTATCTGTATTTCACAAATAGGCTCAGAGAGGTGAAGGAACCTGACTATGGTCACACTATTCAGTGTTAAGTCTGCCCTGGAACTCAGCTCTCTGACAGCAAGGCCTCCCTTGCTTCTTGGCTCTCCACTGCACGTTCTCATCTACTTTCTGCTCCTTTGTCCCGGGCATTTTCCACTGATGAGGCCACTGTCATCTCTCCTCATGCCATCCCCACCAAATTAATGAAATAATGGACAACCCTGCTATTTGTTCAAAACGTGTCAGGATTGCCACAGAGGCAGTATTTTTAATGGTTAATTTAGGAGTTTCACTCTTGCCTTTAACACTTAATTTCCTTCCTCCCTCACCATGCTTCCCTAACTTCTTTGGTCTTCAGGATCTTCACCCCCATCTTTGGAAAGCCAAGTGACTTGGCCCTGTTCTGTCAGCCCTGACACAGCTGACGCCTTTGCAGGTATAAAAGCTGGAATCAGACTGAGCAGCAACATTTTTTTCATTAGGAACCAACCATGTACATTAAGGCCATTCTAGATGGAGAGACATTGCAAGCTGCTCAGAGCACAAGTTGCTTGACAATCTGGCCCTTCTTTTATATATAACTGACATAACCAAAACTATAGAACTGGTCAAGTCAGTATTCAGAAACTCAGGATCTGAGTTATATACACCTAAAGTGCAGAGAAAATGGAAGGGATATGCTGGCCAATTCCATTTTATTAGAAATTTATCTAATAAAAATTGTTTTAAAAAGTCAAATAAACCTCATAACAAGTTATCTGGCCAACATTCTAAAATCTCCATACCTTACCTTTTGAAGGATGGGTAATAATAAAGAAAATTCTTCATTAAAGTGACTTAATATTTAATTTCTGATGGGATTTAAACATAATAATACTTTTGAAAAATGCTATACAATTAATAAAAAGTTTTTACACACGGTCTCTACCACAGCCCCATGAGGTGTATATCATTAAACCTTGTGCACGGATGAAGGGCTGGAGGCTCAGGGAGGTGAACTGGCACCTGGAGGTCACAGGCACCAGGGGTTCCTGGTGGGGATGGGATGCAAATCCTGGCTCTGTGTGCTGCTCTCAGCAGAGTTCTCTCTCCCCTTCATGACTTTCTTGGTGTGCACCCATTCCTTCCCAATTACATTTGGAAAAGAATTTAGTTGTAGATTTTTATGGTCAGTTCATGAATTATTACTTTCTAAGCATTAAGGTATTTTGAACAGCATTCAGAAAGCACAGAGAACCCTGTGACAAATTCAGCTTCTCTGAGCAGAGGGAGCCTATGGCCTGGAACTGGAAGATATTCCTTTGAAGCAGTTAGTTTTGGGGGGACACATGACGGGGTTGGATCCAGGCCCTGCCACATGCTAACTCTTCGGCAAGTAATCTACTTTAGTTTTAATTTCCACATGTGTAAAATGGAAATCATAATAGAATCTTACTAGTGGATTTATAAAGACTATCGATGATTTAGAATTAAAGACCACATTTTAAATAGTGCTCCAGCATGGCATGCGAATGAGGATGTCACAAGGGAATGGGCCATTGGACTAAACAGAGGAAGAGTCACAGGCAAAGACAAAGTCATGGGAAAGCATGTAGTGTCTTTGGGAGACCAGAGACAGAAAAATCAGGCTTCTGCAGATGAGAGGGCAAGAAATACACCAAGAAGCCACCTTAGAGAGCCCCTGAATATTGGGCTAAGGAGGCCCAATGGGTGGCCGGGAAGTTTCAGTGGGACCAGGTCTGCCACCAGAGCCCACAGCAAGTCACTTCTGCCTGAGGGACATCACTTCCTCTCTGGGGAACTTCTACTTCTCGTCTGTAAAATGAAGAGGGTAAACTAGATAATTATGAAAAATCAGTCTGATTTAACTCTCATATAAGCAGGAGTATTGCACTGAATGTTTAAGAGGGAACAGGACAGTACACTTAGGAAGATCAGTCTGGAAGGATAGATTGGAACAAGGAGAGAACAGAGATTGGAAACAGTTTAGAAGCCCACTGGGCAAGCGCTGAGCATGTGTTCAATATTTATATAGAGACTGGGAGCTGAAAAAGCAGAAATGTGGTTTAGACTCCAGGGAAGTATCCTGTTGGTAGGTTAAGTGGATAAGTAACCAAGGCTACAGATTTTGAAAATAAATATATTGTAGTAAAATAAGCTCAAGGCAAATTAAATAAAGTCGAGCCTAATTGATGGAAAATTTTACCAAAGGCCAGGTTATCCCAATGAACTTTGTAGTTTGAGGTCCAAAGATGTCAATACTATACCAGACAGTAAAATGCATAAAACTGCAAAAACAAGTCACTTGATAATGGGCTGGTTTTACTATGTGGGCTCATTTACTATTTTTTTTGAAATGTGTTAAGAATTGATCATACTCAGTGACACTGGGGGAGGGTGGAATATAAAGGAACAGCATGCAAAATTGCTGGATACTGAGCCAAAAAAAAAAAAAAAAAAATCATTGCAAGCCAAATAGACACTGGCTGCATACCATGCCCTGCAGGTATCTATCTGGATTCAGTAGAAATATTCAACTCAGAATATTTAACTCCCTCTGTATGTCATGGACCTGAAAACCTTTGGATCTTCAAATGTGACTGAGGTCCCCAAATGTCCCTAACTCAGTGTTTGCTTAGACATCCTTGTTAATACACTTATTTATCTCAGTTGTTTCTCCCAAGTTCTAGGTAAAAATGAAAATGTAGTAGTCGTAGCTCCTGACCCCTTTGACATTGTACATAAAATGTGGTGCAGATGTGACCGTTTTATGGGGAAGGGTCCACAATTTTCAGAGTCTCATCAATCCAAATCACTGCTGTAGAGAGAAAACAAGCAAACTGTACTCTTGTAATTAAATGTCATAGTTCACTCATGTATAACAGCTTAGAGTAATGTTGGCTGTTGAGACTTCAGAAATAACACAAGGAGAAAGCTTTTTGCTTTTTAAAATTCTCCTTATAAATCATCTCCTATTAATATTGATTAAAAAAACATCTAAGTAACCTGGTCAATTACCTTTAGTTTTCAAAGGCATTTAGATTATTTTTAATAATACCTTCATTAATGATTAAAAAAGTTAGATGACAACTTCATGAGACTTTTCTGCATCATATTTTCTCAGTGAAGAATACAGAAAAAGTTAGGACCCCTGTCTTCTTTCAAATAGAAGAGATAACAAATTCTATTTCACAGACACACCTTATGACTTCAGTTAGGTAGCACTAATTGCACTTCTACAATATGACAGCTTCCTAATCATAAAATAGGTGACTACTACCTAGTAAATAAAACTCAATAGGTTACAATCATAATTCTTACAATACAGTTGACATT